TGAAGGGCCATCGGGCTCATCGCCCGCGGCTGATGTTACGGGCCATGGTCCAAACCACTTGGGAAGTAGTTTGCGTGAAACATCCTGTTCCAGTGCAAACTCTTCCACGGAGACTCAAACCAGATCACCGGCGCGGATGGGACATGGCACGCGACGCCTGTTGGCTTGCTGCTGCATGCGGATTTGAGCCTCTTGCATATTCGCGCGGGCTTGAGCCAACAATTCCCTGTACTTCTGGACGGAAGCGGGAGAGCAAGCGGCGTCGATGTCGGCTGGTTGTGGGAGGAGAAGGTCGGCGAAGATACGGCCTTTCCGTCCACCGTGGTGCAACTCAAATGGAGTCACACCGATCGCTGGGTTCACCAAAGTGTTGTAGGCGAACTCGATGTCGGGGAGGCGGTCCACACAATCTTTCTGGTCCGGACGGATGAGCGTACGACGCATCATTTGAGCGGTTTGATGTGCCCGCTCCGTTTGCCCGTCCGTCTGTGGATGCCGAGCCGAACTTGGCTTCATTTTCGTGCCGAACTCCTGCATGAGAGCAGTCCAAAATGTCGACATGAAGCGAGTGTCGCGGTCGCTGACTATGTCTTCCGGTACACCGTGGCCGCAAATCCAACCGGTGTGCAAGAGGCGTGCCAACTCGGGAGCCGTGGAGTAGTACTTGCAAGGGAGAAAATGCGCATACTTACTCAAACGGTCCACAACAGTGAGGATGCCGTCGTGCCCGCGGCGATCGCGGGGAAAAGGTCCGGTGACATCCATGGCAATGGAGAGGGCGGGTTCCCGTGGGATAGGCATCGGGCGCAACTCGCCATAGGGGTTGCGATTGCGGGGCTTGCTTCGTCGGCAAACTTCGCAAGAGTCGCAATACCGAGTGACATCGGTAATGAGGTCGGGCCATCGGAATCGTTGTCGAAGCCGTTCAATAGTGCGGTTGACTTCGAAATGGCCGGCGAGTCGCGAGTCATGGTACTCACCGAGAAGGCGAGTCCGAAGACGACGGTCGCGTGGGACACACAACAAGTCCTTGCCTCTCGAGTGGAGGAGCAAGTACCCGTCGACAATGCGATAGTGGCTGGCCGGCGGGTGATCCGAAGATAGCTGCGCATATAACGTGGCGAGGTTCGGATCAGACTCATATCCCTGGATGAAGTGTCGCTGGAGTTCCTCGTCGAATGCGAAGGCATGATCTGTCATAGCGCAAAGATCGGGTCTTCGCGATAGTGCATCTGCTGCGCGATTGGAGAGGCCGGGAAGGTGCTTCGGTGTGAAGTCAAATTGGTCGATGAAGTACATCCATCGTCCGATCGTGCTGCTCACCGTATCCTGCGTCTTGTAGTAGGTCAATGGGTTGTTGTCCGTGACCCATGTGAACCTTCGACGCCCAAGGAGGAAGTGTCGCCATCGCTTGAGAGTCGTCACGAACGCGAGCAGCTCCTTCTTTCTTGCATCATCAAGCGAATTGATGGGAGGCACTTTGTGACTGAAATACTCTACAGGGTGCCAGTCGTCGCCATCGTGTTGTACCAAGACTGCCCCAATGCCATAGCCGGAAGCGTCAGTTGTCACTCTCGTATGCAGGGTGGGGTCATAAATGCTAAGGACGGGTGCCCCATGAGCATGGCCGTCTTAAGTGCTTGGAATGATCGGCGTGCGTCGTCATCGAATACGAATGGCACCTTTTTGCGATTCTAATATCGTCATAGGTGCAACAATCCTTGAGTACCCGATGATGAATCGCTGGTAGTAGCCCGCCAACCCCATGAATGAACGACGTCCGTGGTGTTGGTGGGCTCGGGCCATACGCAGAGGGCCTCGATCTTGTCCGCAAGCGGACGGATGCCTTGCGGCGTCACATAATGTCCTAAGTACTCCAACTCTTGCCTCGCGAATTCGCATTTGTCGCGGTTGGCTTTGTACTTGGCTTGTCGTAGCCGCTCCAAAACGGTGCGTAGGTGCTCCACATGCTCGTCCAAACTCGGACTGTACACCAAAATGTCGTCGAGGTAGATAAGTACGAATCGATCCAGCATGTGTCGGAACTCCGTTGTCATAGCCGCTTGGAAAGTGGCCGGGGCATTCATAAGGCCAAATGGCATAACCAACCATTCGAAATGCCCATATCGCGTCTTAAACGCGGTCTTGTAGCGGTCCTCCTGCCGAATCTCGAGTTGGTGATATCCCGACTTGAGGTCAAGCTTGGAGAAAAACTTGGCGCCGCCCAGCCGTTCGAGAAGGTCGTCTATGTGTGGAAGAGGGCCGACTTTTCTGATCGTTTGCGCGTTGAGCTTGTGATAATCGATGCACAACCGGAAATCCTTGTTCTTCTTCCGAATGAAGAGAACGGGAGCCCCATATGGCGAGGAGCTAGGCCGAATCCAGCCTTTCTCAAGAAGGTCGTCGAGTTGTGCCCGTAGCACACTTAACTCTTCCTCGCTCATTCGATAGATGCAACCACGCGGAGGTACAACCCCGTCCTCGAGGATGATCTCGTGGCGGATGGGCCGATCCGGTACTACTCCCTGCAGGCCTTCAAACACGTCGCCGTAGGCGTCGAGAAGCTCGGTGATGCGTGGGTCCGAAGATGAGTCCGTCGATGAAGCGTCATGGGGCGGGAGGGCGTGGAGAAAACACACCCCCATCTCCTCGATGTCGTCTCTAATGATGAAAGCTCGCATGCTTGAGGCGGACACCACGTGGCAGCTGATCGAAGGGTGAGGAGGAGCTAGTGTGCATGGGACTAGTACTCCGTTCCGATCACGAACGTGAACGGTGTGGCGGTAGAAGTTCACCGGGTGATCCTCACTTCGCAGCCATGACATGCCCAAGATCATGTCGAATTTGGTGTCCAAAATATGGAAGGACACCGCCTCGCTTGCATGCAGGGCAAAGTACACGGGGACGTCATCAATGCACCGGTTGATTGACTTGTGCGTGTGACCGTCTGCCAACGTGACTTGCGTAGGCTGGGACTTCCTCCTGACGCGTGGGCCAAGGTCGGCGCGTACCATGAAGTCCTGGCTCATGTAGTTGCGAGATGCTCCGCAATCGATCAAAGCACTGCAGGTCGCCTCTCCGATCTAATGCGTACATATAACAATGGTGCGTCGATGTCGTCGTACCGTTGCGTCTTGAACTCGCGGTCGATCTTCGGAATGTAGTCGTGAAGGTCGACAACCTCTACTCCGACGTCCATCAACGGAGTTGGTACTGCAGTGTGCAAGTAATCCCGCAATTGTGCCATGAGCACGTTGCAATGCGGTTTCGACAATCGACCGGACCGGGGAAGGGGCATCCATTGGAAGTCCGCAAACGTCAATGGGTCGAGCTCTTCAAGTCTTGACCATGTCGTCGAATCCCCGACTATAGATGGCGGTGAAGCTGCCGACTCGGTTGCCGATGGTAGTGAAACCGTGCATGCGGTGGATTGTTACACGTGGAGTGGTTGGTCCAACGGTGGGACCAAGTGGACAGCATAGTCCTCGTAAGCATATCGAGAACTTACGACATTCGCATCCTCCCCAGATGTGTAGGAGGCCGCTAGCAAGGCGGCCGAATCTGGCGAAGTGAGAGGTGGAGTCGCCTCACCTCCCGCGCAACTCAGTTTGCCGAGTTGATGCGAGGCCGAACATCCTCCTTGCCTTGATCCGGGCATTGGGAGGTCTTGTGCTTGGTGCTGTTGCACCAATAGCAGCAGCCGTAGCGGCCGCGCCACTTGTATTCCGCCTCGGTCAAGTGAAACTTGACCCATGGTGCTAGCTGTCCGTTTCCGGCCGGCGATGCGGCTTTCGCCTTCCCGTTCCCTCGGGACTTGTTGTTGCTTCGCGGCTGGACAGCAGCCACCTGATCTCCCTCACGTGATGCTTGGGTGGCTGCCGGGTCTTCCACAATGTTGTCCGGTTGGACTGCAGCGACATGCTGCGGACGCGGACCAAATTTACCTTTCTCCACGTAGGTTGGCTGCCATGCTGACTTCTCGTGTGCAGCCGCCCTATTGGTCTTGATGATCTCCCTTGCCTTGTCGATGATTTCGGCGAAGGTCGCGTATTGCTCGCGATCACCAAGTGCAAGGCTCAAGGCGGCACATGACCGGTTGTAGAACTCCCGGCGCAGATGCGAAAATGGCAATTCTAGATCGGGCGTGGCCACGATCTTTTGCCATTCCGTGAGCCAGTTACGTGTTGTTGTGTTGCCTTGAGACATAGCGAAGAGGCGGTTGATGGCGAGCGCCGGGGCGTCGTCTACGATGAACCGCTTCTTCCATAGCCGTGTTAACTCTTCCCAAGAGATCTTATCTTTGAGATCTGCGACGTCGACGCCGTGGACGGTTGCCAGGTGGCTCAACCAGATCTGGCGTCCGCCCTTTGAGTTGAGAAACAACGCGCCGATGTACGTGTGCTTGGCGACGAACAGAATCCGAAGTTGCGTCGTAAAGCCCTCCCACCAGAGGACCGGGTCTTGATGCGTATAATCATCGAATTTCTCGATTTGGAATGTCGGCATCTTGTAGTGCTGCAGGCTGTTGCCATCCTTGTTAGGCAGCTGTAGTTGCTGAACCTCGGTCTTCAAGGTGTCCAGCTGCTTGCTGATGGTGGCTGGTGCAGCGAAGGTACTGATGTCGCCGAGCATTGCGACTACGTGGTCAACTCGTTCCTCCAACTGGCGGGTAGAGGGTGCGCTGTTGGACTCGCCGGCATCTGGTCTTGGTGCAGATTGCTCCAAGTCCTGTACACGGAAATGAAGTGCTCGTGTAGCATCCTCGTGCAAATCCTTGTGGCTCTGCATTCCCCGTCGGAGAATCGCCAGCTCGGACTGCAGGTGGTTACAAGTGTAAACCAACCTAGTCACGAGTTTGGCCATGAATTCCTTATGCTGCTCCTCCGGTGTCGCGTCGTCGTGCCCCTCGGATGGTTCAAAGTGCCAAAACTTGAGCTTTTCGATGCTGGTGGCTTCATGCCGCTGTAGCAGATCCTGGGCTTCCTTGCGGTGTTCCTGGGTATCTGCGTCTGCTTCGGCCTGAAGCCGCTGCTTCTCAGCTGTTGCCGCTGTTTCAGCTGTAGGCGGATAGCCTCGGCTGCCACCTGGTGCTGTTCCTCAGCCTCGATGAGTGCGAGATGCGTCTGGAACTGCTGTTTGTACTCTGCAATGGACTCGTTGGCCAGTTGGCCTGGCATGCCCAGAGCTGAGCCCGTCATGGTGGCGGGGCACTGCTGATGTGGCACTGTTGCTGACGTGGCACTGCTGATGTGGCACTGGTGATGTGGCACTGGTGATGTGGCACTGCTGACGTGGCACTGCTGATGTGGCACTGCTGACGTGGCACTGCTGATGTGGCACTGCTGACATGGCACTGTTGCTGATGTGGCACTGTTGCTGATGTGGCACTGCTGATGTGGCACTGCTGATGTGGCACTGTTGCTGACGTGGCACTGCTGACGTGACACTGTTGCTGATGTGGCACTGCTGATGTGGCACTGCTGATGTGGCACTGCTGACGTGGCACTGTACCAACCCGGGAGTGCATGCAAAGGGGTGGGTGGGAGGGAAAACGCAGGTAGGGAACCAACCCAACAATACTTTCCTCCCGGCCCTAATCAATAGATAAAAAAA